AGAGAGAGAGAGGGGGGCAGAGAGAGAAGCAGGCTCCATGCACCGGGAGCCCGACGTGGGACTCGATCCCGGGTCTCCAGGATCGCGCCCTGGGCCAAAGGCAGGCGCCAAACCGCTGCGCCACCCAGGGATCCCTGTATTTTCTATTTTTGGTGACTGATAAAAATAAGCTATATAACATTTTAAATATTTCTCCAACTTTTTGTTCAGAAAAATTTCAGACCACAGTTGAAGTAATATTAAAATATTAATACTGCCGTTAAAAAAAAAAGACTCTCAACTATGTAAAAATATTACTAAGAAGTTGTTCCCTTTTTCGACAAGGGAAATTGAAAGTACATCAGGTACGGACTGCATCTAGGAGGAATTGGCACACTTTCTAATCCCTCAGCCTAAAGGGGACATCATTCCTCATTTATAAAGAGGTACCAACTTTGTTTGCTGATGCCTGAGGACAAAGTTAAACTGAGGGTGGGAGTGAGGAGAATAGGTGGATCCATATTACAGAAAGATCCTAAAGAGGCTGTGTTACTCTGAAAGGAAGCTTCCTGGGAGAACTTAAGCAATGACCTGGCTACAGACCAGATTTGCAAATGACATGAAATTAGGGATGTAAAATTACTCATTAGGAGTAATTGATCATCCAAACACAAATAATTAAAGTAAATTTAATTTAATAAAAATTAATATAGATACATGTAAAGTGTTGGACACAAACTTCAATGAAGTAGAACATAAAGGAACCTAATTCAGCATCACGTGAATACCTCAAAATTTAACGGTTTGGGCAGCCCCGGTGGCTCAGAAGTTTAGCACTGCCTTTCGCCCAGGATGTGATCCTGGAGACCTGGGATCAAGACCCATGTCGGGCTCCCTGCGTGGAGCCTGCTTCTCCCTCTGCCTGTGCCTCTCTCTCTCTCTGTCTCTCATGAAGAAATAAACTCTTTAAAAAAAAAATTAAGGGTTTGGTAAAACTTAATCTTACTAGACGTGGAAAGGGTAATATTGCTGCCCCAAAAGCTAATGTTCTCACAAGATCCGTTTAAGGAAATACACTTTGTAAAGTATAGGTGGTAAGAATTCCGATCTTACTTTGGATGTTACTTTGTTCGGTTCAGGGCACTTGACTTTAGGAAAAACACTGACATAATGAATCCTGTTTATTAGCATACACCATGGATGAGGAACATTGAAGGATTTTTTTATCTAGCCAAGTTTGTGGTGATGGTGGTGGAGGGGGCAGGGAGCTGTTAGGAGGACGGGATTATCTGGGATGATCTTTAAGGACTTAACTCTGTGGAACCAGGGTAATTACATTCTGCAAGACTGCATGGGTCAAAAAATATGGGTGCTGAGAGCCTGCTTGGCAATAGCTGGATGTTACAAGGCAGGGCATTTCTAAGTAAATTTAACAAAACTGGGAAGGGAGTAAGGTTCCCTCACTTGAGGAGTCCAAGGAAAGGTTATCCATGGTTCTCAAATCTGTACCTTTGTATCTAATTCAACTGGTTTGAGCGTAGAGCCTAGATAGCAGAATTTTTTCAAAACTCACCAGCTATTTTTTTTTAAAAAGACTTTATTTATTTATGAGAGAGAGGGCAGGGGAGGAGCAGAGGGAGAGTAACAAGTAGACTGTGCTGAGCATGGAGTCTGACGTGGGGCCTGATCTCAGGACCCGGAGATCATGACCTGACCCGAAACCAAGAGTCAGATGCTTAACCAACTGAGCCACCCAGGTGCCACACTCGCCAGCTATTAATAATGGGCAGTTGGGTTTGAGAAATACTAGGCTAGATAACTATGTAAATTAAATGTGAAATTAAAATGGAGAGGAAGGTAAATGGAAATTAACATTTAATATTACATGCCAGCCATTGTCCTTGGCATTTTCACACTCTGACCTTAGCACAGTGCCTGGCACCTAGTAAACTCTCAAATGTGTTTTCTACAACCTTATAATGGCATTCTCTAAATAATCCTGGGAGATTATTAGTTTATAATACAGGTATCGTCATCCCTGTATTGTGGACAAGGAAACCACAGCTCAGAAAAGGTATTTATTTCGGCTAATGCGTTAGGTAGTAGACTGTAAAACTGTGACTTAATCCCAATTTAAAGCTAGTGTGCCCTGGTCTCTGACCGGCTCACTCAGTAGAGCGTGCATCTCTTGATCTCAAAGAGTTTTAAGTTCCAGCCCCATGTTGGGTACAGAAATTACTAATAAAATCTTTAAATAAATAAAATAAAGCTAGCGTGTCTTCCCTGTCTCTTCAGGCCACTAATAAGACATGTTGGTATTTGTAAAAATTAGCAGCTTAAGTGGCCCTTTTTAATAGAACACTTCTTCCTGACCTATTCTCAAAAAACATTACATTAAATGCAAATCATGAAAAAGTGAAAGCCAAAAAGTAGACATTTTCCTAACGTGGCCTGTCAGGCCTGCAGAAGCTCCCCTGCAAGTCTGGAGAACCCCAGAGGGCAGAGGAAATGGATTAGAGTGGCCCTTCAGAGCTCAAACAAAGCCCTTCAAGCAAACATGCAGAAAGCACTGCTCACAAGTACATCACATCCACAATCCAGGACTTCAGCTCTCTGCTGGGGGGGGGGGGGGGGGGAGGTTGGCCCTGAAGGGACAGGCCCGATCTTCTCTGGCACCTTTGCTGAAGAGGAAACATTCAAGGAAAGATACCTCAGTGAGACAGAGAGTTCCTCAAGAGCAAGGACAACCTTAATAACCAAGGCGAAATAATAATTGCTGCAAGACTGCACTGCAAGGCCACACTACTTTTCAAAAATAAAATATACTTCAAGTGGTAAGCATTGAATTGACAATGAAATGCTAGATTCAGATTTTTTTCTGGTGTCTGGCCAATTGTTAAATTTTAGAGCCTATGCTAACACACACAAAATGGTAATTTGATGACTGAAATTTTCTTTTCTGAGCTTCATGTACTATTATAAACCAAATATACATTAAAATTTATTCTAGAAAAACATGAAGATACAGGTTCTAAATATTGTTAAGAGACTCCTTTAAATAACCAATATAATAACGATCAGGGCCAATTTGGGACCCAGATATACTTATATCCATAATTTTACACATTATGTTTTCCAAAGTATTGAGTATGTTGTCTTAGGTACTCAAGGAGAAGCTGTTAAGAGACCTTCCATTTGTAGCCTTTTTTTATCCATTGGCCTCTAGCTATACATTACCCATCTTAAATTTTAGCTAGATAACCCTTGTCTTAAAGTCACAAAAAAATTCATAGGGAGAAAGTTTAATACTCATGTGTATTTTATACACTCCGAGATATTCAAGAAGCCTAAAACCATGCTGTGCGATGTAATTTAAAATTTACCAGTAGCCACAAAAAATGGTAAATATTTTTTAGTATTAATCAGTATATCAACAGCATTATTTCAATATGTAATCAATATACAAAATTAAGGTATTTTACATTTTTTCCCATACTAAGTCTTTGAAATTCAGTGTGTATTTTATACTTATACAGCAGATCTCAATTTGGACTAGACATATTTTAAGTGCTTCGTAGCCACTGGTGGCTAATGGTTACCGTACTGGAAGCACATGTCTAGAGTCTAACTCTCTTCTATCTCCAGTGTAAGTCACCTTAAAATATACAAAAACCAAGCACATAGAAGTTGATCCAAAGTTACGTAATGCTCTGGTAAAATGGCAAGGGAGATTTTAAATGTATAGGGTTTAGACTTTTCTAATCACTTAAACAAAAAATTTGCTTTTAAGGGCTTTGTAAGATTTTTTACACCAATTTTACAAGTGCCTTGAAAACCATCTTTTGGGACACCTGGGTGACTCAGTGGTTGAGCATCTGCGGTTGAGCGTCTGCCTTCAGCTCAGAGAGTGACCCCGGAGTCCTGGGATCAAGTCTCACATTGCGCAGGGAGCCATCTTCTCCCTCTGCCTGTGTCTCTGCCTCTCTCTCTCATGAATAAATAAATAAAATGTTTAAAAAAAAAAGAAAAAAGAAAAAAACATCTTCTTCCCATTACCTCATCAAGTCTTTCTGGGTACTAGGATATTTTGTTCTTTTTTTCCATTTGAGTTGTTCACTTTGTCATTCAGTATCTGGTAACAACTATGTGCAAAACATGCTAGAAGCAGTGAGAGACACAAAGGATATCCCATCATCTCTTTGCCTTCACAAACTTCCAAACTAGCTAGAAAGGGAAAGAGTGAAAAACCTGTAAAAATGTATTTGCATTTTTTACTGTATCACCGTTCCCCAATTCTTTAACAATAAAAGGAATGACTTTATCTTCTTATTCTTGTTATCTTCCCAAGGCCTGACAAAATGCCTTATTGATAAATATTTGTGGAATTCACTGTTCATGAATTATATATTATTTTCTGGAACAGGAGTCCCTGTAAGTACACCAAGTACTTGAAAAGACATTTCTAAAATAAATAAATAGAATAGAATAGGACAAGACATTTCATCTTCTTTAAGGGGAACAGAAAAACTGGAAGGCAGACAAATTATCTCTCAGGCCTTGAAAAATCTGACACAACAGAAGGCAGGGAGGTTTGAAGAAAACAATAAACAAGTTTTTACAGCTGAGAAAGTATGATAGAAGAATTTGCAACTTATGATAGAAACTGCTTATTAAATGAGCAAGTGAATAAAAAAAAAAAGAACTGAATGACCTTAGAATATCACTTAACAGAGACAGAAATGGAAGCTTTAAGGAATTAAAGTGGTGGTGCTACACAAGCTATATGGAAAAAAAGTGACATCATGAGTAAGCACTTATAATTGTTAACATTTTAAAGCCAAACCCGTAGCAACAACCCTCCCAACCTTGCAAGGTACAGCAGTGTGCCCTAGTTTCTTACTTTTGTAAGAATGTCTTAATGTCTGTTTAGCTATGTTTAGAACTTTAATAATCCTATAATCTGTTGTTATTGTGAACAATTACTTCATGCATTATTTGTGGGCAGAGTGAAGAATAAGAAATCTAGCAGAGTAACATGCTTTTATTTTACAACAACACATATAAGGAAAAACAAATATGCCAATGGTACATTTCCAGTTTGACAGAGCAGTCTCACAAAGTATATTTAGGAAAAAAGACACATCAATTACTAAGTTGTTACCAGGGTAAATGATCAAGTAAGACACTCAAACCAAACATCTCTTGTAGGTTATTTTTTCCATGAAGACAATTCCCAGTCTTCAGAATCTGACAAAACCAACTTATTCAAATTATATTTCTAAGGATACAGTTTAAACAGAAACAAGAAGTCAAAAAATCTCATTTTCATGTAAATCTCTGTATCTTACCAGAAAGTAAAATTGTTATTTTTTCAACCATTCCCAATTGAAAGCAAAAAGAAAGCCCGTACAGCTCAAATTTCCCCAGTAAGCAGAAAGTCATTTTACTAAACACTAGAGAAATAACAACACAGTATTAATCTTCTGCATAAATTAAATCAAATGAAAACAAGAGAAGGCACTCAAAGTTGCTTTGTTTCTTTAAAGAACTCTTATCTACGCAATACATTTAACACTCCCAATCTCCTTCCATTCTCCCATGAAAATCCTGAGAAAGGGATGCCTGGGTGGCTCAGCGGTTGAGCATCTGCCTGCGGCTCAGGTCATGATCCCACGGTCTCGGATCAAGTCCCACATCAGGCTCCCCGCAGGGAGCCTGCTTCTCCCTCTGCCTCTGTCTATGCCCCCCCCCTCTCTGTGTGTGTCTCATGAATAAATAAAAATCTTTAAAAAAAAGAAAAAGAAAATCCTGAGAAAAAGTGTTTCTCCTCCCATTACTACTGACAGAAAAAAACCTCTAATTTGAAGGCTCTGTCAGCCAGTCTTACTTAATCTTAGCCCAATTTTTATCTTGCTCATTTTTGACTGTGGTCTTCTGTTTCCCTCGCACAGGTTACCCATCAAAACTACTACTTCCATCCACCACGTACTAGGTATCCTTTTTCCTTTCATTTAGATGTGTCTCCCTTTAAGCCCTCTAGGTGTCGCTGAAGGGGGCTGAGGGTTGGGAAGAGAGCAGAGGGAAGAGCTTCCAGCGGACTATTTTACAGGACACCTGTCCCTAGATAATGAAGAGCTAAAGCCAAATTAAAAGGCTTGCTTTTGCAGATGCTTTTGAAATATAACTTTTTTTTTTCCTAAAGAGACAGGAGACAGATGGAGGAAAAGTGTACAGCCATCCTGGCATTTAATCACATTCAGGGTAAGGAGAAGAGGCACAAGAGGTATACCTAGGTGTTGTGTGAATTTAATAGTTGAGGCTGAGAAAGCCTGGTACTTAGAATGGACATCATCATCCTTGCTCCTGCCACGAGAATAAGGTCTAACTTGTCACTTTAACCACTAGCTTGACATTGTTCTAGATCATGAAAGTGGAGGGAAGAGGGGCTGAGGAATCAAGGAGTTCTTTCGGGGGGAGGAACAGAAGGGTCTTTTGTATGCTGGCAGGAACCCTGGGTCCACCAGCAGTTCTAGGGGTTCCTGTTGACCAGAAACAGCATAATGGGGCCAACAATAATCTGCAAGGTATTCCCCAGTAGGTCGCAGCCCAAGGTGGGCGGGCATGGCCAGTAGTGGGCAGTAGGAGGTGACCACAGGTGCAAGAAGAGCAGTGGAGTCGCATAAATCAGAGACCAAGTGGCGCGTCTGGCGCGTCGCTGCCCCCTCCGCCCCACAAGTGTGCATAGGCTCCATGCCTGCACTACAGAGCAAGGTGGGTAGAATGAGCTCCTAGGCAAAGCTAGAATTCCAGACGGTCAAGAGCCAGACCAAAGGCCCTGGAAACAAACGGTCCATGCAGCGCGCAAAAGGGAATGCAAGTTACAGCATCATTTGCTTGGCTGAGGAGCGACGGGAATCATGGCCACGCAGCGCGACGGCCAGTGGAAAGGACGGAGGGCGGCCTTCAAAGTCCCAGTCTTAGGTTGCGAAAACTCAATGTCCGGAGGAAAAAGGTCGTGGCGACGTCAGGAAGGCCTGTGCTTGGCCGTGTGTGTCGGCCAAGCACAGGCCCAGCAGGAGCCGGCAGGGGGCCTCGGCACACTTCCACGTGCCACGGCAGAGCTCAGCCGGACTGGAATCCGAAGGGCCTGGGGATCTCTACGGGCTCTCTGATCGGGCGACGCCTGGCCCTGCGGACTCCTTCGCGCAGCAGGTAATACTGCAGTGGATTCGGCCACAGATCCTCCTTGATGATCTCAGCGATCTTGTCGGCCTCTGGGAGGCTGTGGTCTGAAAACCAGGTGAAGAAACTGCAGACGACGTCTTGGCTCCTGCGAATGAAGGACTGGGGCTCGCGGCCGCGGCGCCAGGCGATGGGCGTGGACAGAGACACCACGCGGCCAGAGGCCCTCACCTCATACTCCTTGACGAGGAGCTTGTTTCTGAAGTAGGGGTTTCTTCGGAAGAAGAACTTGAATTTGCAGCCGGCCCTGGGGTGTCTGAGCTCCTTCACCTCCAGACTGGTCACGTATCTCAGCATCTCTGCGTCCCGGCCGCGGATCATGGGCGCCAGCTGCGGGTGGTTGCGGAAGGCCGTGGCCCAGAAGCCCGGGATGTTCTGGATGATGTAGTTTCTCCTCTCCAGGTAGTGGCGACGCATCCGCCCAAACTTATGCTCCAGCTGCTGGAAGGCCCTGTCGGCCTGCGCGTTCACCGTGTCCAGCTCCAGCTGGATGGCTTCCAGGGGGTTCATGCGCGCATCCGGGCTCGAGCGTCGGGGCCCCGCGGCCGCCCCGGCACCCTCCCGCCCGGCCAGCTCTTCCTCTCGCTGCGGGTCTGTCTCCATCCTGGGCCGCTCCTCCTCCTCCTCCTCCTCCTCCTCCGCCGCCGCCGCCGCCGCCGCCGCCGCCGAAGCGAGGCCCTCGCGGGCCGGCAGCTCCGGGGCCGTCTCCTCGGCCCGCACGTCCGACGCCCCCGGAGGGCCCCCCCGGCCCGGCCCGCGCGCCCCGGCGCTCCCACACCCATTTTCCAGGCCGCCGTCCGTCGCCACCGACACCCGCGCCGCTGCCAGGCCTTCGCTAGGGGGCGGGGCCTCCGCCCGCCCCGCTCCGGTCGCTACGGAACCGCGACGCCCGCCGCCTCCCACCGGGGCTGGGGGGCCGCTGTCCGCGGGGGCGGGGGCGGGGGCGGGGGCGGAGGCGGCGGGGGCTCCCCGCTCCTCCGAGAGCCCAGGCGGGGCGGGCGCGGCTGCGGCTGCGGGCCCGTCTGCCGCCGCCGGCCCCGCCGTCACCCCGGGCTCCGCCATCACCTGTGACGACGCCTCGGCTTCCTCACGGAGCCGCCTCACGGAGCTTCCTCACGGAGTCTCGTCACGGAGCCTCGTCACGGAGTCGCCTCACGGAGCCTCGTCACGGAGCCTCTCACGGAGCCGCGTCACGGAGCCTCCGTCACGGAGCCTCGTCACGGACTGCCGCGGGTCCGGCTCCCCGCGGGCGCGGTCGGGAGTCGGGAGGCTGCAGGCTCGGGGGAAGGGGCCCCGCCGCCCTGTCAGGCCGCTCCGGTCACGAGCAGCCCGCCCAACCACGGGCGGACGTAGGCGCTCCTCACCGCAACCGCCCCCCGCCCCCCGCCCCCCGCCGGCGTCTGGGGCGCCCGCCCACCCGTCCGCTCGCGAGCGCCTCCGCGCGGTTGACGTCAGGGCCGCAGATCTCGCGAGAGCGCACGGATGCGGCGGGCGGCGCGCGCGGCTGCGGCCTCGGCGGCTCCGGGGTGCCCCGAGCTCGGCGCGGCGCTGCCCCCCGGAAGCGTGTGGTGCCGGCGTTGCGGTGTATTTTCCGGGCGGGAAGGTAGTTTTTCCCTTAAGGAAGAATCTTTGCATGAAGAAGGAACTCCCGGATTTCAGTCGACGCCAAGTCTCATGTGCTCAGGAAGTTATTTTGTCACGTAGGGAAAAAAGGAAGGTTGCTGTTTTCCACAGATACAGTAGTATTCCTTGTGGCTACTGATTGGGGAAGTTTTTCCTTATCTTTTTGAACCTAAAGTCTTAAGAAGAATATGTGTCTCTCCCACATGACACAGTTCTCTTGCTGTCTAGAACGTTCTCTTTTTAGGCAGATACTGTTCATCCTCTGAGACACTTGTCATAAAACTATCTTGCTGTAGGATGTGCTAGACATTTTAGTTTTTTAAGATTTCTAATCTATTTATTCATGAGAGACACAGAGAGAGGCAGAGACACAAGCAGACTCCATGCAGGGAGCCCGATGCGGGACTCGATCCCAGGACCACGACCTGGGCTGAGGGCAGGTCCCAAACCGCTGAGCCCCCCAGGCGTCGCAACATTTTAGTTCTTATAAAGAACTCTGCTATGACTTTGATTTTACTCACTGGGGAACTGAGGCAAAGAGACACTGGGCCACTTAACTCAAAATGACATAATAGTCAACCTGGGGCACCTGGGAGGCTCAGTTGGTTAAGTATCTGACTCTTGATTTTGGCTCAGGTCATGGTCTGGGGTCATGGGGCTCTGTAATCAGCGTGGAGTCTGCTTGAGATTCTCTCTTGCTCTCCCTCTGCCCCTCTCCGATTCGTGCTCTCTCTCTAAACAAATAGGGGTACCTGGGAGGCTCAGTGGTTGAGCATCTGCCTTGGGCTCAGGGTGTGACCCCAGGGTCCTGGGATCGAGTCCCATATCGGGCTCTCCGTGGGGAGCCGGCTTCTCCCTCTGCCCGTCTCGGAAATAAAATCTTTATAAATAAATAAAAACTTTTTTTTTTAATTTTTTTATTTATTTATGATAGTCACAGAGAGAGAGCGAGGCGCAGAGACATAGGCAGAGGGAGAGGGAGAAGCAGGCTCCATGCACCGGGAGCCCGACGTGGGATTCGATCCCGGGTCTCCAGGATCACGCCCTGGGCCAAAGGCAGGTGCCAAACTGCTGCGCCACCCAGGGATCCCTAAATAAAAACTTTTTTTAAAAAAAGGTAGATCCTGGGATCCCTGGGTGGCGCAGCGGTTTAGCGCCTGCCTTTCGCCCAGGGCGCGATCCTGGAGACCCGGGATCGAATCCCACATCGGGCTCCCGGTGCATGGAGCCTGCTTCTCCATCTGCATGTGTCTCTGCCTCTCTCTCTGTCTCTCTGTGACTATCGTAAATAAATAAAAAAATTTAAAAAAAAAAAAAAAAAAAAAAAAAAAAGGTAGATCCGGGATTCCCAGGTGGCGCAGCGGTTTGGCACCGCCTTCAGCCCAGGGCCTGATCCTGCAGACCCGGGATCGAGTCCCGCGTCAGGCTCCCTGCAGGGAGCCTGCTTCTCCCTCTGCCTGTGTCTCTGCCTCTCTCTTTCTGTGTGTCTATCATGAATAAATAAATAAAATCTTAAAAAAAAAGGTAGATCCATGATCTGAATCAAGTAGTTTAATTCAAGAGCTTGTGTTCTCTGTACAAAATGTAAAGTTACACCCTAAAAAACATAAAACTATCCTCACTTAACGTCAAATTATTACACAATTATCTCCCTCCTATCCACTTCCCTCTCTACAAGCATATTAATATTTGTTAGGAAAGCGCACCAGGATTTTCTTTGTTTAGAGGAAAATCAGTTATTCCTACTACCTAAATTCAGTATTTTGTAAACCCTATCAGACCTGTTATCACCTTTTTATAGCATGCATTTTCTGAAATAGTCTTTACTTTTTAAAAATTTATTATTTTTTTATTCATGAGAGACACAGACAGGCAGTGACACAGGCAGAGGGAGAAGCTCCACTAAGGGAGCCCGATGCAGGACTCCATCCTGCGACCCTAGGATCACACCCTGAGCAGAAGGCAGACACTCAACCACTGAGCCATCCAGGCATTCCAAGTCTTTATTTTCTTGATATGAAATTCTTGGATAATATAACCCACCTACACACATTAATAAAAAATAAATAAAATGATTCTGATAGAGAAGAGTAACTTATAATAGTGTCTGTTTCAACATGTAAAGGCATTAACATGCCCACATTATAAGAAATGACAAAGTAGTTAGAAAGTTACACCTATTGGTATAATCACAATGGATGGAGACTAATACAGGTAGGTTTTACTTGTGACTCAGATACCCTGAGTAGCATTCTTCATGGTGACCAAATCTCGGCTAAGCTTTGGAAAAGAAAAAGGAAGAGGTCCCCTAGATACATTTCTGTTATCAGAATGTGTCCTCTAAGCACTATCAGCCAGGTGTCAGTCATGACATCGTTGTTAGTGCCTGAGCACGTTGGGAACTTGGTGGTGGTTACTGATTTCATTCCAGACAAACCTCGTTTTTTAAAGATATTTTATTTATTCATGAGAGACACTGAGAAAGAGGCAGAAACACAGGCAGATTGAGAAGCAGGCTCCATGCAGGGAGCCCGATGTGGGACTCGACCCCAGGACTCCAGGATCATGCCCCGGGCCGAAGGCAGGCGCACTTAATTGCTGAGCTACCCAGGAGTCTCCTGGACAAACTTTAAAGAACATCTGAAGAAGGGATACAGCCTGTAATTTGAAAATTTTCCATCAAGATCTTTGGAAAAGATCTTTGAAAAAGTGCCAACATCAAAATTTAAATAATTAGTGTCTGTGTCTTTGAAGAAAATCATAGATACACATAGTTGAACACCATTTTAAGAAATATAGCATCATTGGGATCCCTGGGTGGCGCAGCGGTTTGGCGCCTGCCTTTGGCCCAGGGCGCGATCCTGGAGACCCACGATCGAATCCCACGTCGGGCTCCCGGTGCATGGAGCCTGCTTCTCCCTCTGCCTGTGTCTCTGCCTTTCTCTCTCTCTCTGTGACTATCATAAATAAATAAAAATTAAAAAAAAAAAAAAAGAAATATAGCATCATCAAAATAATTGAGGCAGAGAGGATAATATTGTTTGGAAACTGTTGCAGAAAATTTTCTGAATATGTAGAAGTTTTAGAAATACCTTAACAATTTGTTTTGCTTTTGTTTTTCCTTTTATATATATCCAAGTATGATATTTGATTTACATCTAAATAACTATAAAAGAGCTTTTGAAAGATAAAAAAATACATTGTGTCATAGTTCAAAGTCTTTTTCTTTTTTGCTCTCTTTTCTTGGTGATTTTTAAATAATACTATGTTTTAGAACTGACGGGGGGGGGGGGGGGCAGCCCTGGTGGCGTAGCGGTTTAGCGCCACCTGCAGCCCAGGGTGTGATCCTGGAGACCTGGGATCGAGTCCCGCGTCGGGCTCCTGCATGGAGCCTGCTTCTCCCTCCTTCTGTGTCTCTGCCTCTCTCTCTCTCTATCATAAACAAATAAATAAATAAATCTTAAAAAAAAAAACTGACGGGGTCTTAAATTACATGAAATGCCATAGTTTCCTTCCTGGAAAATTTATTTCACAGTAAAACCTTGGAAACATATTTTCTTTTTACATGTAAAATGATGTTAAATTCCAGGCTCAGATAAATAGAAGTGTTTTTCCCTTTCTGGAGTGGGACAATTTTGTTGTTGAGGACTCACTGTCGGTATATAGCATTCCTGACAAATAACTTTCTTTTTAATAACCAAAATATACCTCTGCAAACTTCTAAGACACGCCAAAGGAAGGTACGTCTACTGAGAATCTGTTACCTAGCAGGCATGGTCTTCATACTGAGTTTCACTAGAGGAAGCAACTGGTCTTTAAGAAAGTGACATGAACTTTGGAATAGTCCTTCATTTTAAATGAAATAGTCTTGTAATTTAAATTGAACCACAATCTTTTACTCCCATTAAGCTATAATTGTTACAAACTAGTCTTCTTAAATGGGGCTTAGAATTGTTACAGTGGCTCCCAATAATCAAATCAGACCAAAATATCTCAAAAGACCCTGCCTACTCCAAGTTCTTTAGCTATGTGGACTAGTTAGTCATGGACCTGGTTTCAGGTTCTAGCTCTGTCAGTCACTATCTGTTTAACCCAGGAAGGTCCTTTCATCTCTCTGAGCCAGTGGATCTCTGTGTTAAATAGAGATTGTAATACATACTTTACCGGCCTGTTAAGAAGATGAAATAAGACACGTATAAAGACTTTAACACTGTAAGCTTTCAATGAATAAAAGCTAGCAGTATTATTTGTATCGTTTTATGCTAATAAAGCTTACATACATTAAACCAGTGTGCAAGGTACAATCAGGCACTAAATTCCACTATAAAAATTGTATTTAGAATTCAGACAAGACAGACATCCATGTGTACTAGGGCGGTCAGTGAAAACTTCATCCAGGAAATGAGACTTGAATTGTACTCTGCTATAGGTAAGAACTGAAAAACATGAAAAAGAGGTGGGGATGAGGGCATAATCACACTTGTTTACTGTTCCAGCTTTCAGCATGCATTCTAGACCTGCACTGTCCATTATAGTAGCCACTGGCCATGTCTGCCTATTTAATTTTAAATTAATTAAAATTAAAAATTCAGTTTATCAGTCACACTAACCACACTGTAAGAACCCAGGAGTAACATCTGACGAGTGGCCACACTATTGGAAAGCATGCATGGCAGAGCTCTATTTGACAATCCCGTTTTAAACATACAGTATCTTCGGGCAGCCCCAGTGGCACAGCGATTTAGCGCTGCCTGTAGCCCAGGGCGTGATCCTGGAGACCCTGGATCAGGTCCCGCTTCGGGCTCTCTGCATGGAGCCTGCTTCTCCCTCTGCCTGTGTCTCTGCTACTTCTCTCTCTCTCTCTGCATCTCTATGAATAAATAAATAAGTAAATAAAACATACAGTATCTTCAAGTTGTAGAAAAAAGGTGGCTTGTTATAATTTGTTGCGTGCTCTGCGGCAACACAAACAGGGTCCTGAGGGAAAGGGGATGAGGAAATAAAAGTAAAGAGATAGGGACAGGAGGGACACAGTGGATGATGTCCAAGCAGTGTCAGCTTTATTTAAGGTTCTACAACATTATATAGCATAAGCAAAACAAAGCTAAGGAGGTATCTATTTTTAGCATGTTTGTGAAACCCTCCAAGGTTCCCCTTTATCAGTATGTAAGACAGACTCACAGGTGCCAGAAGACCTTGGCTAATAGATAAGCTTGTTGCTCCAGATGTACATACTTCAAAGGAGTATTAGATATGGTTAACAGACCAGCAAGCACAGCACAGACCCTTATTTAAATTTATGACCAGGCCAGAATAAATTTTATCTATTGTGTTATGTGGGCGATCTCGTACAAGCGAGCCCTGAGAACCATTGCTCAAGCCCTTTCTCAAGCGTCAACCAACTATTCACCCTTTAGGCTCCCGAGCCTTTTGAGTGAATGAGGGACACAAGTCCGGACCTGGTTTGATTTAGTTACTCCAGCTAGTCCATGGCCGCCCACAAGAATTAAAATGCCATTCCACAGATATAAAGTCTTTTTTTTTTTAATTTTTATTTATTTATGATAGTCACACAGAGAGAGAGAGACAGAGAGAGAGAGAGGCAGAGACACAGGCAGAGGGAGAAGCAGGCTCCATGCACCGGGAGCCCGACTTGGGATTCGATCCCGGGCCTCCAGGATCGCGCCCTGGGCCAAAGGCAGGCGCCAAACCGCTGCGCCACCCAGGGATCCCAGATATAAAGTCTTAAGGAAAAAAAAAATCACTTATTAAAATTTGTGCTTTCAGTTAGCATTTTTTGAAACAAAATCATGTATTTATAGTGGGAATATTTTCACTAGAAATATGTTTCTCATAATATGAAAAAGACATCTAAATATTATGCTCCTTCACTATAAAACTTACCAATTTAAAATAATTTACAAAAGTGAGCCATTACTTTAGAGGGAAGAATGAAGCTAAACAAATCAAATTCAGGAAGCATTAGTTAAAAAATTTATATAACTAGGTTAATCATTTAAGCAGCCAATAAAATGTATGCTTAGTGGGACAAGCCCCCAACTGTACTTTTAGTAAAGTGAAATAATGCAAAAGAAAATAATGAATGTGAAACAATGAGAATAATTATGTGGAATTTTACATCCACGTGAGTCACAGTGATCTGTTTGGTACAATACCAAAAATGGACAGTCAAGCCATTTAATAAACATGACTTTCTTATTTGAAAGCATCTCAAAATCCTACGGTTAAGAAATGTCATCCAAGGGAAAATACTTCCATGCACTTTCTAGATACCATGAAGTTTAGGTAAGTAGCTAAATCCCATAAATGCTGTAGCCCTGAATTCGTGTTGCCCTGTTCATTAAAACTCCAAAGCCTCAGATGTAATCTTACAAAAATAATGTGATTTTGTTGTAGAGTCCCACGGTCAAAAACCTTTCTTACAACAGTCAGACTTTGATGATTTAAAAAAAGTCTTGTTTTAGAACAAGTTTCATCTAAGTCATTTACTACTTTCCACGTAAAAATTATAGTATGAGAAGTTCATAGTATGGTCTCTAACTTGATACTTCGGTTGTTATAACGCTTCATCTGTCAGCTGAGAACTCTGACTTGTGAATTCTTTGGCTCTAACACTATATTACAACTTCCTTCAGTTCGTAAGCAAACCATTCTACGCACATCTGATTTTAAAATGTGCAAAGTTGATTTGGAAAGAGACCGTCATCCATCGTTTGGCCACTAATACCGATCTTCCCAAGGTGAAGGTCGAATTCACCTTCATGATCAGGTGTCCGGTGTCTGCTCACCGCCCCTCACCGCCCCCCACCCCCGCTCACCGCCCCTCACCCCCTCTCACGGTCCCTCACCCCCCTCACCGTCCCTCACCCCCGCTCACTCCCGCTCACCCCCGCTCACCGCCCCTCACCCCCCACCGTCCCTCACCCCCGCTCACTCCCGCTCACCCCCGCTCACCGCCCCTCACCCCCCCACTCCCCCTCACCGCCCCTCACCCCCGCTCACCCCTGCACACCCCCGCTCACCGCCCCTCACCCCCCACCGTCCCTCACCGCCGCTCACCCCTGCACACCCCCGCTCACCGCCCCTCACCCCCCACCGTCCCTCACCCCCGCTCACTCCCGCTCACCCCCGTTCACCGCCCCTCACCCCCCCACTCCCCCTCACCGTCCCTCACCCCCGCTCACCCCTGCACACCCCCGCTCACCCCCCACCGTCCCTCACCGCCGCTCACCACCCCCCCAGGAGTGACCCTCACCCCCCCAGGCCCCCGGCAGGCCGCCCCCCCCACAGCCCCAGTTACACAGGCAGGGCAAGGCACGAGGTTCCCACACCCGGACACCCGGGTCCACGACCCGCGGGGCCCCTCCCCTCCAGGTTCCAACAAGCCCGCACCCCGAAGAGACTCACTACTGCATTCCGAAGCCCTTCGGGAGCCGGGCAGGAACTCCGCGTCCTCGCAGGGGCAGAGATGGGTCACCGGGCCGGACCGCCGAGTCCCACTGGGCCGCCGCCCGCCCGCCCGCCCGCGAGGTGCCCGCTCCGGCACCCCGGCCCCGCCCCCGTCGCCCTGGTGACAGGCCGCCGCGGCTCCGCGCCCACTGCCCGTCGTCAGGTCGGCCAGAGGCCAAAGGCCTTCCGTTTCCGGGTCTCGCCTCACTTCCGGGCCTCGCCTCACGTCCGGGCGCCGCCTCACTTCCGGCTGCTGCGGCGCGGCGGCGGCGGCCCGGCAGCGGCACCGATGTCCCAGACGCGGCGCCCGGCGGGGAGCGGGGGTGAGTAGGGCCGGGGCTCCTCCGCCGCACAGCCGCCCCTCCGCTCGGCCCCGCCCTCCGCTGCCCCCACCCCCCCTCCCCGCGGCCTCCCCGCCCCCCCTGCAGCGCTCCGGCCCCTCCTCCCCCCTCGCCTCCCCGCACCGCTGCGCTCTCCCCTCCCTCCCCCCCCCCCGCTCCGTGCATCTCTCCGTCCCCCCTCCCCCCGCAGCGCTCCCTGTCTCTCCCCCCTCCTCCCCTGCACCTCCCCAGGGGACCGCCCCTGAGCCCCGCCCTGCCCCGCCCGCCCGCCGCGCTGAGGGTGCCCTCTGGTCCTCCGGCAGCAGCGCGACCGCAAGGCGGCAGGTGACCGGCCGGCGTCGGGCATGGCCGCCGCCTGGAAGCGCGCCCTGCTGGTCCTGCTGGCCTGGCAGGTGGTGTCCTCGCTGAGCTCGGGGGACGAGGACGAAGTCCCCGAGGACTGGGTCCTGCTGCACGTGGTGCAGGGCCAGATAGGAGCCGGGAACTACAGCTACCTGCGGCTCAACCACGAGGGGAAGATCGTCCTGAGGATGCAGAGCCTGAGGGGCGACGCGGACCTGTACGTGTCCGACAGCACGCTGCACCCCAGCTTCGACGACTACGAGCTGCAGTCCGTCACGTGCGGCCAGGACGTGGTGGCCGTCCCCGCGCACTTCCAGCGGCCCGTGGGCATCGGCATCTACGGGCACCCGTCCCACCACGAGAGCGAGTTCGAGATGAAGGTGTACTACGACCGGAGGCTCGAGCCGTCCCCGTTCTCCGAGGTCGCCACCTCCGAGGCGCGGGACGCGGCTCACAGGCAGGCGCGGGCCCCGGAGGACGCGTCCCAGGAGGAGGAGTCCGTGCTCTGGACCATAGTGATCAGCGTCCTCAAGCTGGTCCTGGAGATTCTGTTCTGACGCTCTGGCGCCCTGGCGCGCCCTGGCGCCTGCTCCCTGAGTCTGCGAGCCCCGCTACGACCCAGACCCCAGACCCAGCTGCGTGCTCTGGTGGAAACTGTGGCTGCCGATTGGGGGATGGAAAATAAAGCCATACGCTTGCTTGTGTTACCTCATACACCCCAAAGGGAGGGAAAGCAGCAGGAACGAGGTTAGTATTTCCTCAGAGGTCAAAATTCCTGTAAAAGGAATGCGCACAATAAAATGTTCAGACTCCGGTTGATAGCTTGCTTGTCAGGTGGCCCAAACAGGGCAGTAGCCTAGGAATATAGAAGATAAATCGAAACAGAGCATCAGATGAAACGGCTGGTAGCTAGAATTGTGTTCTCCCTAGAGTTTCTGAATGAGGTTACAACGTGTTTAGGACTTTGAAGCTGCTGCTGAAGTCAAGCCTGAAACGTACGTTTTTGCGCTTTTGCGTGGCTGCGGGGCTAAAGCGCTGGGCCTGCCCCCGGGCGGAGTGGGCGCCCCTGCGCCCCTGTCCAGACAGGAAACCCAGCTGCACCAACTCTCATCAGATCGTTTGTATTTATCATCCTGGGCTACCTATTAGTTAAAATTCTTCCATCACTAAATAACTTTGTTATGCTGCCAGTGGTAGGCCAGAGACCATATAGATTAGGAGAATTTCATGCAACTACTATACACTTTCTGGTCAATGAAGGAATAGTTGAGTATTTCGATTACGTTGCCTAATATTTCCACTGAACTTCTGAATAGAGCCAAAGTACTAAAGATTTAAAAAAAGCTTTTGGAAAATGAACTATTACTTCTCTATCTAAGATTGGTTTCAAAGGTAAAAGTAGCTTATAATAAATAAAGTAGCAGATTTTAAGCACATAGTTAATTTCAGAAATCTTTTATTGGCATAAAGTTGAGAATGTAAATAAATTGGCACCAAATATTTCATTTAAATCCATATTACAATATTGGGGTCAGAAAGCTATTTTATCTTATCCCTCTTTGCTGTTTTTCCCCCTTCTGCCCACTTTCCTGGGAGTTGGGGGGGCTCGCTGACAACAGTCACAAATCCAGCGACCTAGGAGAAAAATTGTTAGTTAATATACTATGAAATTTAATTCTTTAGGACTGAATTTTAAACCCATTTGGCTCTCCTTTAGCTATCGCTAGTAATTTCTCTGTGGATTTGTGTTGTGAAGGGCACTTAGTTCTAATTTAAGGAGAAAAATAAACTCCCTTAAAATAATCAGTGTAATCAATACCATGTGAAATTCAGTGCAAGTGGAGGGGGCAGGAGGCAACTGTGTGTAATGATGGGGACCTTTGAAAACTGCCACCCTTTCTATAACCCAAACACTATCATACTTTGAGTTCAATAATACAAATTCTAATATAAAACTTGTTACAGAGTTTGGCTCACTTTCAGCCGTTTCCCTGCTGCTCAGTGGCAAGTGCGAGTCTAAACGTCCTCCCAAGGCCGGTGTACCAGACTCAGCACTTTAAACTTATCACTGATAAACTGCACCATGTACTCCATCTGAGTTACTACAGAACTTCAAGTTGCCTGCTTCTTAATGATTCCCAGGAAACTTAGTTCTAGGCATACATTTTATAAAGTATTATACAGTGTTAACTATGCAAATAAGTTCTAAATTTACACAATTATGTGTAATATTTTAGTCCAATTACTGTGATTTATCCGACTCTGTGTTCATTCCAAAGTTATCTGGAATTGTCATGCTGTCTCATTTTATAGAAATCTGGTTTAATATTTATAAAGGCATAGCAGTCATTTTGTTAAGTTTCTGAATAGATGACATAAAAATAAAATCAAGGCTTTGAAACAAACTGATGCTCTTGCTTTAGTTCTTTCAGTAGAAAGACATGAGTTCTCTCTATGTATTAAGCTGTACCTCTACCACTTACATCCCACTTGTGATTCAGTTGGGTTACCTAAGGATGAAAAGCAGGTGGACATTTTCTGGGTAATCACAGCTCTGGTCACTTCTTGTGAACAGAAGGATCTTTATGGTGTTTATGTGAGCCTTTAAGAAAAAAAGGCTGGGAGAGTCCCTTCACTCAGAGATAATGTTCCTCCTTTTTTTCAGTCTTTACCTGATGGAATAGCACCAAGGCCCACACAAAAAGTATGATAACCTCTGTCACACACATCACAGAACATCATTTCTTCTTCGTGGTGGGGCTGTCCACATATAATGCAAGTCTTACACTCCATACATTGCCATGGGTAGGTCTTAATCATAGAAACAAGCTCCATTGTCATATCCAGGCAAGAAGGATGGCCTAAACCAAAACCAGCATTAGTATTTCACATAAGAATTTTGAACTTACTATGGCATAATCAAATGCTAATTTGCTTCGGGAGTTCTTGAGAATGGCTACAATGTTTAATCACCAAAGAAATGACAATACAAAGTAGAGAATACACGGGCTGCTTTTCTATGCCTCATAGGTCACCCTGTATATTTGATGATTCTTTGACTCAGGTCTAGCTGACAACTAGAAATCCTGGTTTCTGAAGCAACAAATAGGGTGGTTAAAATGTTAAGAAGACATGTCAGTACTTACCACTGTTATCACACTGGGAGCAGTGTATAAGTGATTCAGCCTTCCCTTTCTTGTTGGACTCCTTACCCTTCAGACAAATTCCACATAGAGCATTTGGAATGACCTTTGGCTGGAAGGGTAGAAGAGGGCTATAAATTCATGCCAGAAGAACTTACTATGGGTTCATAAGGAATTGTAACTGCCTTATCTTTACTTCTGGTATCTTGCTAATGAGGACCTTTTTGAAAGACCTAACTTGAGAGCCAGCTTTCAAATACAATGGCCTACCGGCTAAAGCCTTAGATGTGGTTTTAAAATTTTGTCAGCAGCATGATCTCATGTTAGGATTAAATGTGGCATTCTACACTGCCTACGTGCACAGTAAGATCTGTATAATGAACTGGAAGGGCAGGCTACAATGTCAAATTGCACTTTTAACTGGAAGAGAAAAAAAAATCCAGGTACCGAATGACCATTACCTAGAAGTCTGGCTTACTGTACAATGGAAGGCTCCATGTTAAGCAGCTTATATACCGATTTTGTTTAAAACCTGATTATTTTACAAAGTTGTAAAAATAGATCTATAAAATCTAAGTCACAAAACCAATATTTTAACAGTTTTAGTTGAAAGAGGTCTCATCCATACATTGTCATGTGCATAAATGTTTCTGGAAACCAAGCTATGATTATTCCCTTAGCATATCTAAGAATAAAAAAGCCTATGCTTAGGGGAAAAGCATTCAGTATAAGACACAAAACATAAAAGAAGAAAAAGTAAGTTTTCAGACACGCAAAAAAAAAAAAAAAAAAAAAAAGCTATCACTTAAAAAAGTTACAATACCCTCATATTCTTGAGTACTGTTTGTTTTTTAGGTTAAAGATTTGCTCAATCAAATGAAGGTATTTGGGATTTAAAAAAACACCAACACATGGAAAAGGAAGAAGAAAAGATTCATGGCACCTACAATTATCATCAGGGGAGGGAGAATGTACACATCATGGTTTTGACCATCATAAAATGGTGTTCGTACTACTTGAATACCTAAGTAACGGTGGCAGAAAAAGAAGGGCAAGCATGGGCCAAGTAGGAGCTGGGCCGGGGGCATGTGTGTATACATAAACTAGGGGGGAGAGTATCTTCAACAGGATTGTTGTATTTGTTTTATTCCAACCCAGCCAAGTATATCTTCTATTTCTCTCTCCTAAGCTACTAAACCAAAAGAGGAGCCTAAAGGAAACTCCAACTTTGTATACAGCATTCCAGCTTTGAAATGTCTCACTGCCACCTTCAAAACCTGTTAGGCCTAAACAATTTGTTCTTAATTATTTAAATTCTTTATGTCTTGTCTTTCTTTGCAAAAGATGACAGAGGCATTCAAAAATAATTTTTGGCTTATTTATTTAAAAAAAAGTCAACCTTATACATAAATATAATAAAAACAATAACTCTAAACAATCACAAATGTCTCTACAAAATAATAAATACCATGGAAGTTAAAACATACATATAAAACTTTACCGTGAGCTATTCTACATCTCCTGTATGTGTATCTGTATACCCTGCTCCCCCAACAAAAGGATAGTGTCACATGCTCACACCATGTGCAGTGTGCAGTTACCCTACGTTGTTGCTGCTACATTCTAAGCAGGAGGTTCTTGCTGTGTCTCCTACACCTAAATACGAAATAGCTAGAAGTATACTTCTATGATCCAAGTTCTGGCCCGGTGACGTCCACATCTGTAACTGCCATCATATACAGCAGAAAACTACCTCTCAATAGACCAAAATAAGAGCTCTCTTTTGGTTATGGCACCTGCACCGAATGTAAAAGATATACTTATTTAATACTTGTAGTTGAAGTTAGATACTGACATACCAAGTATTCGAACATCTTTCACTAAAGTCAGGGAAGTAACTACACAGTATTAAATTCTAAAAGAACTCCTCACAGGAGATCCTTTACAAAAGTCAAAAAGGAATAAAACACAAGGCTAGTCATTCACATTCTAGAGCAATTCAAGTTCTACAGCCATTAAAATATACATTCAACACCTATGATAAAAAGGAACACCAAGAAAATTCTAGGTTTACTTCTAAGCTTCACATAATATTTTGTTAAATCACTTAAAATTTTTCTTACCCAATAGTCTTCATCTTGATGAAAAGAGGGAATGACAGGGGTGGAGAATGGAGGGAGGGAGGGAGGGAGGGGGGGGGGGGGAGGGAGAGAGGGAGAGAGAGAGAGAGAGAGAGAGCTTTGTAGCATTTTCTATGGCAATTCTTTGTTCACTGAAGCACTCTGAGCTCTCTGAGAAGCACCCTGCTCAAACCCAGGCCTGCCAGCTGGGAAGCTAGTCTGGGAAGGAGACTCCTCTGATGGAGGAGGAAGGGAGCAGTGCACAGAACTCCCGCAAAGATGACAGAACAGAACCCTACATCTGACAGAGACAGTTCTACCTCTAGTAACTGCAACAACATCCAAGTTTCACTATTGACAAGAAAATTGAAATTCTCCTCCTAATGGTTCTCAGCATCTCAAATAGAAGGCTCACAATACACTGACTTTCCTGTGTGAAAAATAACCAAAGATAAGTGAGACTTTCACGGTAGCACTAATATAGTATAGATTTTAATTATAAACTTGTCACATAGGCCTGAATCCTAACAATTATGCTTTAATTGCAGGTTAATGTAACCTAAACAATACTGTCCTACAAATTAAGGGCAAGCACTAGAGAATCTTACTAAGCAAGACATCAGATACATCATTTTTCTTAACTCCAACATATCTATATATATGACCTTCAGCTTGAAGTACCCTAATATTTAGGCACATCTTGGCTTATTAATATTTTTCATAGAGAGGTTACTTTTAATAAGCATGTTCACATTAATGTGTTAAGTCTAGGTACTGGTTGTTCCAAACTTTGAAATACCTGAAACATTTTTAGGTACTAAAAATGTTCACAGAAATTATAAAATGTGTATTTTGCATATTACACTCCCTTGAGTAATATCAATTGAGATTAATCTATAGGATTTCTTCTCTATTAAATCAATGATACTGTGGAACAATTCTTCATTTTCAGCCTCTATAAAAACATCTACTTCAACATTCTCTCCTCCGAACCCACAATGAATCCAGGCTTATTGTGAAAGATCTCCTCAATGCTGA